TTCAGAATGACAATGGAGTACGATTATGTGAGTTCTGCCAGATAAATGGGCTTGTTATCACAGGTACACTATTCCCCCATAAAGACATCCACAAGGCAACATGGGTATCTGCGGATGACAGTGTAAGAAATCAGATTGACCATCTTCTGATAAGTGGCCAATGGAGATCTTCCGTCCTAGACTCACGAGCACAAAGAGGAGCTGATGTCGGCAGTGACCACTACCTGGTGAGGACGTGCATCAAATTACGGCTCAATAGGTACAAGGTCAACAATATCAAGCAGAAAATAGACGTGGAACGCCTTGGAGATGAAGAGACAAGAAAGAAATACTGCGAAGCAGTAAAGAGTAGGCTGGAGGAGAACAGGAGAGAAAGTGAAGATATAGAGGAAATGTGGGAGCAGCTGAAGAACGCCTACATTAGGTCAGCAGAAGAAGTGCTCGGCTTCAGGAAAAGAAAGAACAAGCCGTGGATCAGCAATAACACCTGGAAACTGATCGATGAGAGAAAAACTATCAAGACAAAGACTGACAGTACCCGCTCAGAACGAATCAAGAATAAATTGAGGAATGAGTACAGGGAGAAGGACAGAGAAGTGAAAAAAAGTGTCAGAGAGGACAAGAGGATGTGGATGTCAGAGAAGGCAGAGAGAGCTCAAAAGGCAGCGGAGAAAGGATGGCAGAAAGAACTGTATAACATTGTGAGACAACTAACAGGTCAGAACACCAGGCAGGCAGCAGCGGTCAGGAGCAAGAACGGGGAGCTGCTGAAGAATAAGGAAGCCAGACTAATGAGGTGGAAGGAACACTTTAAGGAAGTGCTCAACAGGGAGCAACCAGAAGAACCACCACTAAAGGAGGAGGAGGAACAGAATGAGCTGATATTCCAACTAAAGCTCCAACAACAGAAGAGATCAAGACGGCATTGAAGGCCCTTAAAAACGGAAAAGCCCCTGGTATAGACCAAATTTCAGCTGAAATGTTGAAAGTAGACATCGAACGAACCAGCTTAGAGTTAAAACGAATCCTTGACATCATTTGGGCAAAAGAAATAGTGCCAACCCAATGGACCAAAGGGCTCATCTGCAAAATCCCTAAGAAAGGCAACCTTCAGGAATGCGGGAACTGGAGAGGAGTTACGCTGTTGCCTTTGGCCAGCAAGGTGCTTAGTAAGATCCTGATCAACAGAATTCAAACAGGAGTTGATCCGTCACTGAGGAAAGAACAAGCTGGCTTTAGGAAAGGAAGAGGAGCTGTAGACCAGATATTCATTCTTAGGAATATCTTGGAACAGGTCAATGAATGGAACGCAACATTGTACATCCACTTTGTTGACTTTGAAAAGGCATTCGACTCAGTTCATCGCGAAAGCCTTTGGACTATCATGCGCCAATATGGAATTCCCCCTAAGCTGATTCAGATGGTCAAGATCCTGTACGCCGACTTTCAGTGCACCGTCATTGATGAAAATGAAATAACAGACTGGTTTCCAGTGACAACTGGAGTGAAACAAGGGTGCTGTATGTCAGGATTTTTGTTCCTACTGGTGATAGATTGGGTCATGAGGAGAACTGTGGAGGGTAAAAGAACCGGAATCAGATGGAACTTCATGACCATGCTGGAGGACCTAGACTATGCAGATGACATTGCCCTACTGTCCTCAATAATGGCACATCTTCAACACAAAACAACTAGGCTGGAGAAGAATGCAGCTAAAGTTGGACTGAGGCTGAATGCTGGAAAGTGTAGGATCATGAAGGTGAACAGTTAGAGGGAAGATAAGCTGAAAGTGGGAGAAAGAGAAGTGGAGGAGGTGGAGAGCTTCACATACTTGGGGGCAAGTGTCACTAAAGATGGTGGAGGCACAGCGGATATCAAGAGGAGGGTTGGATTGGCAAGTGCAAGGCACAAACAGCTTTCAAACATCTGGATGGCCAGTGACATCAGCAAAAAGACAAAGACTTCTCTGTTCAAAAGCCTCGTACTGTCAGTGCTACTATATGGATGTGAGACATGGAAACTGACAAAGGGAGAAGAAAAGAAACTTGACGCCTTCCAAACGAAGTGCCTAAGGAGGATCTTTAAGATCCGGTGGCAACAGCATGTTTCCAATAAGACAGTGCTAGAGATGGCACAGACAGAGAGGATCAGCGATGAGGTGAGGAGGAGGAGATGGAACTGGATCGGCCATGTGCTGCGAAAGGAGGAGACGAGCGACTGCGCTGTGGCTCTAGGTTGGGTGCCTGAAGGTCGAAGGAAAAGAGGCCGACCTAAAACAACTTGGCGGCAAGTGGCTGAAGCAGAGAGAAACAGAGCAGGATGGTGTTCATGGAACTCAACAAGAAGTGCAGCTGGAAATCGATCCCTGTGGAAAAATGATGTCCTTGCCTTATGTGCCTCCTGGCACAAAGAGAAATGATGATGATAGATAGATAGATAGATAGATAGATAGATAGATAGATAGATGGATAGATGGATAGATGGATAGATGGATAGATAGATAGATAGATAGATAGATAGATAGATAGATAGATAGATAGATAGATAGATAGATAGATAGATAGATTAATGCAGACCCAATAGGGAACAAGCCAGTGTCCCAAGCCCGGGTAAATGCAGGGTAGTGTAAGGAATGGATCAAAGGAAAAGATAGATATATGGATAGAAGAACTGTAATGGTGATAGTATAGTTTTCTATGCATTTTAGGGATTTGGGGGTATGTGACACCCGAAAAATGATTTCCCAGACTTTAAGCCAGGGGTGTCAAACATACGGCCCGCGGGCCGGATTCGGCCCGCAAATGGGTTAAATCTGGCCCGCGAGATGGTTGTATAAACTTTATTTTCATACTTTACAATGTAGAGTGAAAATAAACTCTAATTTTTAAATTAAAAGAACTGCTGTTCCCAAGATGTTCACTAGATGGTGTAATAGGCATTGTATTAAGCAAGCAAGCCGTTTATCCTCAGCCAGAGCAAGTACGTCAACCAAGTGCAACAGGTGTTCTGACGAGCTACTTTGTTTTGGCCCCGATATCTAATCCGGCATCTACAGTTTGTGCTTCAGCCCAAGATGTCTGTCAAAAAGGAGAAAAGTGGACACAGAGTGCAGGTTGTTCCAAGAAAAATGGACATCCCCCTATTTTTTCATGGAAGTGAACGGAAAAGCTGTATGTTTGGTGTGTTTACAGCACGTTGCAGTGCTGAAAGAATATAATCTTCGTTGCCATTATGTGAGTCTTCATGCCGAAAAATATGACAAATTTGAAGGACAGCGGAGAAGAGAGAAGGTGAATGAACTGTTGGCCGGACTGAAGAAACAGCAGTCTGCGTTCACTCACAGGCCAGATATCAGTGATGCTGCAGTGAAAGCTAGCTGCCTGACTGCTAATGAAATTGCGGTGGCTTCAAAACCATTTAGTGAGGGGGAATTTGTAAAAACGTGCATGATGAAGGCAGCGGAGATTGTGTGCCCTGAAAAGCGCCAAGCTTTTGCAAATGTCAGCCTGACCAGAAACACAATTCCAGACAGGATTTCTGATATTTCAGCGGATTTGGACATCCAATTGAAGGAAAAAGTAAAGTCCTTTAATGCTTTTTCAGTTGCTATTAATGAAAGCACGGACATTACAGATGCTGCTCAACTGGCGATTTTCATCCGCGGAGCTGATGACACGTTGACCGTCACAGAGGAGTTTGTTGAGTTGGTGCCCATGATGGATGCAACAACAGCAGCTGATATTTTCACCGCACTCGTTGGAGCGCTGGACAGGGTCGGAGTGCAATGGTCCCGCGCTGTAAGCCTCGCTACAGATGGTGCGCCCTCAATGACTGGGAGAAGCAGGTTTTAATTTACCGGTCTGGCCCACTTGGAACTAGATTTTCCTCAATGTGGCCCCAGAGCTAAAATGAGTTTGACACCCCTGCTTTAAGCGAATGTAGGCGTGATCAGCACGTGTGGGCGGGGTCATCTGAGGCTAACGTACATGACGCTGCACTGATAAAATACTGCGGATGTCAAACTAACGATAAGGAGGGCTGTACCGGAAATTAAACTACGACTTCACAATAAGAGCCTAACAAGGGCCGCGTTTTTTCAGTGTTTCAGAAGTTTAATCTGTTTTTGATCATAAATGACTATTAGACATATCATTGCCATGCCAAGTTCATATTTACCACACATTTAAAAACAGTGCGAAAACTGACCAAAGAGCTGAACAGAGTTTATAAAAACAAGTGAGCAAACATAAAAATATAAAACAGATAAAATGGCAAAGGTCTAAAACATAAAACCAGCAGGGCAAACAAAAGAGAAAGGACACCAGACTTAGCATCATTTGTTACACAAGGTCAATGAATAAAAGTGAGTTTTCAAATGACATTTAAAACAGCAAGTGATTGGGCCAGACTGATATGCAGGTTTAGGGGCAAACACTGAGAATATTTTCCAATATTTGTATTTATTTAAGAAAATGTAGGTGAATGACACAAACAACGCTGTTTGTTAAAATAATCAGAAAGTTTAAGCAACTGCTTTAAAAATACATGTTCTTTTATAACAAAAGGAAAACAGTGGCTTTAGGGAAATAAATTAATTTCAAGAAGTGGCTGAGTATTTGAATTTAGTTGTACACAAAAGAAAACACAGTTTAACTCATACAGGTCAAATGCCTTTCAGTTTTTAAATTTCAAAGGAAACGTTCAAATCTATTTAGAAAGTGCAGTGGTCATAGCTTTTATTTTTAAATCTGAAACCGGAAGTGCTCTTGTAAACATCCGGAACTTGATGGAAGTGAGCGCATCCAGCAAGCAGGTGGTAGCTGAAGGAATCTTCCTCCGCGGACGGACCTGAGACAGCCTGTTCAGAGTGGTAGCGCTCCCGGAGACCGGTCACCAGTTTTCTGCTCCGCACACCCGCAGCTTCTAACGGGATGGCGGTCCTGGGCGGCGCCGGCCGCTGGATTCAGTGTAAGTCATGACCGCAGCTTGCTAGCCGGACGGAAACGGAATAGCACCGTAGATTCATCCGATGGTTTCTGCGAGAGAACCAACTGCAGCGCGCCGTCTCACAGAGGCGGTTTAGTGGTTTATCTCATGTTTCAGGCTTACAACCGAACGCTGACATTGACCGTCACGCTAGCACGTAAAGTTGAAAGAAACTGAAGCTAAACAGCTTCCTGTTATTTATTGTAATTGTAATGTTTTATTGATCTTGTTAAGGTGTAAGATTACTGCTTTTTAACTTTCGCCGAAAATGGCCCAAACTGAGCTTTTTATTTTTATTTTACTCGTCTAATTTTCACCTTTTTTCTTTATAACGACCTTTATTGTACATTTTTGTGACTGATCGTGAGTGTTTCCGGTGTGGTTTCCGGTGTTGTGGAGTTCAGCCAACAGTCGATTACAGTTGAAGGTCCGTGTTACATAACCATCTTATCCCTTGCCGGTGGTGAATTTAGTGCCGGTAAGCCTCTCCGCGTTTCCGTTTATATTTTCACGGCGGGAAAGAAAAGAAGCGAACATTTCACGCGTTGTTACACAACTGCAGAGTTTTGAACTTGCGTAACAGAGGAGGCCCCCTGGCGGCCCTTAGGCGCACTGCAGCGCTGGTTATGAAAGTTGAAGCTTGTTTCGATCAGAAGAAACAAACAAACAAACACGCGCACACAGATATCAGTCATCTGGGACAATGTTAGAGTTTATTAAAAAATAGAAACAATGATAAAAATCAAGACACATTTCTAATTCATGGCTGCTTTATAAATCTTGTATGTGATGATGGCATTTACAGATTCATACTTTATTAATAAACAATAAAAGATAGAAATTCAAACCCGATTTAGTGTTTGTATTTATATCTTCGGTTAAGGCCTTTTATTTGTACATGTAAAGTTTAGGGTGGTGATTTGGAGATAAATAACATATTTCTAAGCTTTTATGCTTTAAATGTGTTAAATCGCTTCACCGTCAAACTCGGTAACTTCAAACGCATTTCCAGAATTTTATTTCATTTTTCTGCAGAAAACACGATAAAGATTTAATTTTCTTTTACCTTTTTCTGTATATATATTTTTCATAAATTAGGTTTTTAACCGTAACAGATAATTTTAGTTAAGTGAAATGAGGAGAGATGAACGAGTGAATGTATTTCAGTTGCTAGGAGCAGCGTCGGCCTGAGTGTGAGGAGACGCTCCACTGCTGCTGCTTTAGCACAGCGTGCTGCTCCAGAGATACAAGAAAGCAGGTAGAACACACACACACACACACACACACACACACACACACACACACACACACACACACACACACACACACACACACACACACACACACACAGTAATAATATTCCAGCTGCTGAGTTGCAGGAAACCTAAAACTGGGATCCTGATGCTGAACATGGGAGGACCTGAGAAGCTGGAAGACGTTCACGACTTCCTGCTGCGGCTCTTTATGGACACAGACCTGATGAAACTTCCTGTGCAGAAGTAGGAACACACACACCAGATTAGGAGCAGCTGTGCTTGTTTGGTCTGGTTCTGTTCACTGACGTTATGTTCTCCGCAGCAAGCTCGGACCGTTCATCGCTAAGCGGCGCACGCCGAAGATCCAGGAGCAGTACAGTAAGATCGGAGGAGGCTCCCCCATAAAGCACTGGACCTCCATGCAGGGGGAGGGCATGGTGAAGCTGCTGGACGACATGAGCCCAGACACAGGTGAGCTGCTACCTGTGAGCTACAGGAGAACAGAAGATGTGTGTGTGTGTGTCAGGCTCGGTTCTGGATCCTGCTCCTTTAGATCTGATGAAACGGTTTGCTGCTGCGAGCTGAAGATAAGGCTGAAGAGGCGCGTCTCCTCACACGCCTTGGACACGCCTCTCTGATAACAAACCGAACACACGAGCTCCAGAACCGCCGATCCAGAAAAGCAAGACTCTGGAAAGCATCCCATCGTGATTCTTATTGTTGTTATTTGATCCGTTTGGGATGACATGAGGAGAATCCGGATCAGCCGTCCTCCAGAACTCTCAGGGTTTTTCTCTGGACTCCGGCTGCAGTCACGTCATAAAAAGGCTCCATAACTCAAGGGATGAGCCAGTTTTGCCAGTGCTCTGCAGAGAGTTAAAACCAGAATCTGTGACACAAACTGGGATCAAACTTGGAATAATGTCGGATTGGTGCTGATGACTCTTCATTAAACGTAACTTTATTGTTTTTTTTTTGTTATGAAATGTCAGATCCCTGCTCTCCGACTCTTCCCTGAGTTTCTCCACTTCCTGACTCAGATCAAACTGGGATGGGTTCCAGTCCGGTTCTAGAGACTTGTGGAAGTTCTGAGGCTGTTTACAGACAAAACTTTATCGGTGAATTTCTCAAACCGGATAGAGTTGGATACTGAGGCTCTGACGGAGACGGAAAACTCTCGGGAATGCTGTTTTGGAAAGCTGCAGCCCAGTGAGATACTGGTGTTAAACATGTCCTGTAGGCTGTTTGTCGCCAGCAGCTGGTCACACAGGCACATCTGGTTCCTGCTCTTAAAGAGCAAGTCACTCCCTACTCCACTCCCACTTCCTCTTTGAAAAATGCAACAAATGTGGTTGCCTGGCCGACCGAGAAGGCGGAGTCACTAACAAATACACATTTACACATACATGCTCACAACAACATTGTGACATCATAATGTACCAGCTAACCTCATAGTGTACCTTTTAGCCAATTGCGATGGCAGATTTAAATTCGTGTGCAGTGCAGAGTTTTTACCTGAAGAGGGCGCAGCATAGGCAGTTTTAGGTAGAATATTTAAATTTTAACTAAAATGCCCTGAAGTGCCAAATTATTGACTTCACGTGTCTGCAGCACGATCAGACACTCGTTTATATAGTTTATGAGCAAAAAAAAGTTGATTTGGGGGTGACTTGCTCTTTAAGTTTGATGAATGAAAAATCAAAAACCGAATTAGTTTGGCAGGAAACGGGATTCTTGCCTGTGACTCCGCGGCGTCTGAAGAACCGGGACCGGACCAGGACTTTGTCTGCTGTTTGTTTACAGATTGTTTCTTCTTGTTCAGCTCCTCACAAGTTCTACATCGGTTTCCGGTACGTGAACCCGCTGACGGAGGAAGCCATCGAGGAGATGGAGAAGGACGGAGTGGAGCGGGCGGTGGCCTTTACTCAGTATCCTCAGTACAGCTGCTCCACCACAGGTGAGTCGGACGTGCCGCAGGTAGAGCAGGGCAGCTTCGACAACACGCGGACCATAGATCAGACAACGTTAGCTTACAGGAACAAGCTTAAAGAGACCATGTGTATTTTTACCGGTAATCTCTGGAATTATCCATTGAAATGCTGAAAATCCAGTCTGGGATTGAATCAAACCTTTGAAAGAAGGAAAGATGTTTGTGTCTAAGAGCTGAAAAGTAATGTCATCGTTTCTGATTTTCCTCCTGCGTTTGGCACAAACATTAAAAAATGGGGAGCTCAAAGCAGACGGGCGTCTCTCCGCCTCTCGTTGACGAGGCGCTAAGTCGTTTAACGAAAACAGGAAACTAGGCCAGATGTCAACGGACCATTGATGAGAAATCGTGTTTAGAAATGCACCCGCTATGGATCTGAGGGCCGATAGCGATGTACTTGAAAGATTTAGAATGAACAGGATTAACTTAAAGAGTAAGTCACCCCCTACCAGATTCTTACTCAACTCCCACTTCCTGTTTGAAAAATGCGACAAATGGTGTTGCCTAGCAGACCGAGAGGGCGGAGCCACTAGGGCTGGGGGTAAACGATTATTTTAAACGATTATTCTGACGATTATTTTATCGAATAGTCGACTATTCTAATGACTGTTTAGATGATTAATCTAGCGTTTATTTTTTTATTGCACAATGAATAAAAACAAGAAAATCTAATAAATTCCTCAAAAAATTGATAAATTGTTACTGTAAGAGAATAAACACTACAGACCTTCCATTTTGTATAACACTGCTTTTATTGTGTTGGTTGGTTATGTTCTGGTGACGTGTAGAACTTGGGAGTGCAGGCTGCTGCCTGAGAGGTGGTTGGAGACGGAGTGTCTCCATGCTGCTTTGTTTTGGTCACTTATGAGCGTGAGGCGAGTGGTGTTACAACTCTTCCTGGGGAGTCTGGCTCGTGTGCAAAAAGGAAGGGACAATAACGGGATTTAAAAGTTAAAATGATGATCAGGTTTATTTACAACTACAAAAAAACATAAACCTTTCCATCCACAGGTTGGGAGTAATAAAACTAATTCTGCCTGTGGGGAATTAAAACAAAAGTACAAATAACTGGGGATGTCCCACTGGGCAAAGATTACAGGGTTCTGGACCAAAATAAGGATCTCCAAAGGTTCAAACTCTAAACTGGGCGGTTAAACCAAACTCAAGGTGATATTTTAAACTAAACCGAAAACCTACAACACTCTAAATGTAATAAAAGGGAGATCTGCACCACAAAAAAGATGAACTCTAAACCAAAACGTAACAGCTTATCCAAACGCAAGAAGCTGTTAGCGAAAATGCTAACAGTAGCTTTACCAATGTTAAGTTCAAGTTACCAAGTTTAAATAAACCAAAAACACCCAGCAGCAAACAGACCAGCACAGAGGAGAGACTGCTACCACCAAAACAGCTCTCCTAATGTCTGAAAGAAGCTCCTTCATGAAGGGAGAAACGCTCCCGGTGATGTCCTACATCTGCGATAGAGACGAAGCAGCGCATCTGACCCCGGAAGTTGTTGTCCGATGCCGGGAGACGAAGGCGGGCAACACAGTAAAGGAATCTAGTA